AAAGAAGAGAGGGGGGGGGGGGGGGGGGACGCTGAGCATGCAAGCCAGGAGATTTCATCTATAGGTCGCATATACAGAGGATACAGTATGTCAAAATATAAAAAGGGAAAAAGCTGTAAAACAATGATAAAATAAAATTCCTATTAAATTTGTCAGAAAAATAAAAATAAATGTTCTGTAAAATATACTAAATATAGTAACATAATGTAAGAACGTCTCCATTAACCCGAAAGATTTGAAATTTAGTGAATGGAGAAGAACAGATTTAAATCACACGAGAAAAAGATAAGAAAAATTTTATCTTATCAAGTTTACTCTTAGCATTGTTTTCTCAAAATGCAGAATAAGAAAATAGGGATGTTTCTTATATGCGCGTGGGAGTTACATAGGTACACGTGTTACGTCTTCCTCAACGTTCATGTCTCACCAAACGCGAAACGTCGTCTCGGATGAGTAACGCGACCTGTCACGCGAAATTTGCATCTCCTATCTACCAAAAATATGTGTCGTAAACTGTAAGCCCGTGTCGTTCCGCACGCAGTTCCCGACGAATGGGCCACTTCCGGAGTATTCCGAGTACCGCTCAACGCAGTATCTACATCTTCCGCGGAAAAGAACTGCCTATGCATATATGCTAAAAGCAGCTGAGCGCGCATACGGGAGATTCAGCGAACGATGAAGATGAGAAACGGAAGAATACCCGCGTGACGAGATATATGAGATATCACGCCGGTGAAAATTCCGAGGAGCGGGGAACGGAAAGGACGTTAGAAAGAGAATGTCGCAAGGAGGGGCAGGGGGAGAGGGTCGAAAACTTTGAGGAAACAGGGAAGAGCACTATCGTTAAAGCTGCGTCTAGTGTCGCGAGGTCGGAACTGGATCACACGGATGGATAAGCAGCCGAGTGTATGAGTGTATATTGCGTTCCGTATGTAGATGTACGTGTGCGGATGCATGGATAAGTGTGTGTTTGTACCGTGTCACCGGCAGCTAGGAAGAAAAGGGACGTAAGTGAGCAAGAAGACGGCGAGAGAGATGATACGAGATGGCAGGAGGCCACCGAGAGGTGACGATGGCGGGCGGAAGAGGCGCGAGAGGGAGAGAGAGAGAGAGAGAGGAGTTCACTGCTCTCCTATAAACACTTCACTGCACATAATCGTTGCACCACGCTGCTGCTACTGCTGTGGCCGTGGAAGTGGATCACGCTCTTGGCGCACGATTAGGAAGTTTAGCCGCGCGCACCTGCGCGC